AGAGATGAAAAATAAAAGAGGAAAGACAAGAAAACTAGAGGACCAGTACAGACCAACAATTATCTGTTCCCTCCAAATAATAAAGAGTTCCAAAGAGAAGGAACAGAGAAAATGAAGTGGAGGAAATCACCAATAACGTAATTCAAGGGAACTTCCCAGACTTGAAGGGTACGACACACACCAAGTCACATCATCATGAAACCTCCTAACATTAGTTAGAAAAAGAAGATTCTGCAAGGACAGGGAAGGAGGAGAGAGAGGGACAGAGATTGAGAGAGAGAAAGGTCACATACAAATGAGAAATCATGGAATGACTTAGAACTTTGCAATAGCAACACAGGGCACTAAAAGACAATGGTGCAATGCCTTCCAAATTCTGAAAAATCATCTCCACACTGAACTTATCCATCCAGACAAACTATGAACATGTGCAAAATGAAGACATTTGCAGACATATGAAACATTAATCTCCCACACACTTTTTTTAGGAACCTATGGGAGAGTGTGCCTCATAAAACAAAGGAATGAATCAAGAAGGAAGAAAATATGAAAGCCAGGAAAAAGGCTTCAACACAATCGAACAATAAAGGAAATTCCCAGAACATTAGTGAAGAGGGTTCTCAGAACAACAGCTGCCAGTTCAGACAAGAGTTGGTCACTTTACTTCAGTAAAGATTCCCCCAGAATACTGAAGAGACAGAATGTCTGATGTGAATGCACACCTCAAGAGATCTAGAACAGTGGTAGAGAATCGGGGCTGACACGTGTAATGCAGATCCAAGAAAGACACAAAACAACTATAATCCAGAGCAACACTCGCCAGTAGAAACAAAGTGTGCACCCCACATGTAATTTTACATTTATTGCTAGTCACATTTTAAAAAGAAAGAGCTGAGAGGCGCCTGGCGGGCTTAGTCAGTAGAGCATGTGGCTCTTGCTCTTGGGGTCGCGAGTTTGAGCCCCATGATGGGAGTAGAGTTTACATAAATAAATAAATAAACAAACAAATAAATGAGTTGAAATTCATTAATTAGTATCAATAATATATTTTATTTAACCCAATATATCTAAAATATTATTTCACCATTAAATCAATACAGAATTATTATTATTTTTTTTAAAGATTTTATTTATTTATTTGACAGAGAGAGTCACAGCGAGAGAGGGAACACAAGCAGGGGGAGTGGGAGAGGGAGAAGCGGGCTTCCCGCGGAGCGGGGAGCCCGATGCGGGGCTCGATCCCAGGACCTTGGGATCATGACCTGAGCCGAAGGCAGACGCTTAACGACTGAGCCACCCAGGCGCCCCATCAATACAGAATTATTAATGAGACGTTTTATATTCTTTTTTCATACTAATTCTTTGAGATCCAGTAGGTATTTTGCATTTATAGCCCACCTCAGTTTGCTCACTAAAATTTCTCAGAAATACGTGATTTTGACCTGAATTTAGTTTTCATTAAATTTGCAGCTGAAAAAGTTATTCACATACCAAAGGTGTTCCAAACATACTTAAAATTTTTCCAAAAGCCATCAGTTATTAAATTCCGATGTAAAATTAAATAACGTTAAAAATTAATTCCTTAGTTACACTAGTCACATTTCAAGTACTCAGTAGCCACATGTCCCTATTGGCGAGTGTATTGGACAGCTGAGATCCAGAGAGATCAAAAATATTTGGAAAAGGAAAAGTAATCATTGTCACTATATAGCTCAGCTTCAAATAACATACTCTGAGTATTCATTTAATCAAAATTATCATATGAACTCCACTGGGAAGATGGGGATGGGAAACATTCATTGTGTCAAGGGAGGAAGAAGAAAGAAAGCTAAATCTTAAAACGTCTGAAACTGAAAAAAAAGTAGCAATATAATCCTATTAAATAGAAACAGAAGTAAATACAAAAGGAATCTATCAACATCACTCCAAGTGAATGCCTCTGGGTAAGGAGAACGGAGGGAAAATGGGCTTGAGACTTGTGTTTCTCGGAAACATTACAGTATTGGTTGACTCTTTAAACTCATGCATGCATGATTTTGATTTTTGAAAAGATCTTGACAAATGATCAGTGGCCAGTCTGTCCACAAGTGTGTGGGTTAAGAATTTTCTATCTAAATTCTCGCTCTCTCACTCTCTCCTTCTCTGTATAAAATAAATAAATCTTAAACAAAACAAAACAAAAACGGGGGGAGGGCGCCTAGGTGGCTCAGTCAGTTGAGCATCTGACTCTTGATTTCGGCTCAGGTCATGATCTCAGGGTCATGGGATCGAGCCCCATGTTGGGCTCCACACTCAGTGGGGAGTCTGCTTCTCTCCCTGCCCCTCTCTCTCTGCCCCTCCCCTACTCACACATGCTCATTCTCTCTCTGTCTCTGTCTCTCTCTCTCTTTCTCTCTATAAAATAAATAAATCTTAAAAAAAAAAAAAAAGAATTTTCTATGTAATATTGCCCATGGAGGATTGTCACTTTAAAACAGGACCCCTTCCCATCGTCCTCTGTAAGGAGGCAAAGCTGGGAGGCAGCCCCAAGTGTCAGATGGAAAAGAAAGCTGACAGAGAATGCAGTGCAACACATGCATCCTTGTGGCCAAATCCCAAGTCCCACTCTCAAGGCACAAGAGAGGCTTTGAGGAAGTCATACAAAATGGCCTCCTGCGGATCCCAAGGGGATAGAAGAGCCAGGGGACGGGAAGCACAATTCTCAAGAGATGAATGCCACACAATTCTCAAGAGATGAATGCCCGAAGACAGGGTAAGTGGGCAGCACTTCCCACCTTCTCCACACCTCAAACCTGTCCCTTTCAGTGGGGTCTAGCTACTCCACTTGTGGTCCCATTGGCACCTCCTCCAAGCCAAAGTCTACCATCCTTCATGGCCCAGGGCAGAGGTTCTCCCTCCTTTAAATTTTCCCTGACTACTCTTGTCCTCACTGACTATCTTTTTTTTTTTTTCTTTTTTAACTCACATGGTAGGTCTCACACAGTTTGGACCTTAATTATAAACTGTGGAATTGCACACTATAATTTCATGCATAATTTCCAAGCTGCACGATAAGAACAAGGACAATACCATATGCTTCTGCATGCCTCATCATACTGAGCATAGGATTAAACCCATAGTATAGGTTTGAAGAGTATTTGATGATTGATTGTTGGCAGTGATATTGAAATGTGTTTATGCATTTCTGTAGTACCTGTTATTTCAGAAGCTATGGTATTTTATAGGTAGGTAAGAGAGAGAATTTTTAGACATAGGAACTCAGGTACAGAGCTGAGTTCATTTCCCCTTCAGTTCATGACACAATATTGTAATTGGTCAATATAAAACCTCTCCCTTCTTTAATTTTATTGGGATTTTTCTCCTTTATCCTTGATCCCCATGACCTGTCTCCTTCCTCTCTCCCCACCCAATAGATAGCCATCTAATGTATTAGGAATTTGCCCTTGGAGATGTACATATCTTAAAAATAAAGTGTTTGTATATGTGTGCTTTTCTTAACTTTATTAAAATAATATCATGCTATAGATGTTCTTTTTTTACTTTTTCATTTAGCATCTTTCTAAAAACCTGTTTCCAGGGATGCCTGGGTGGCTCAGTCGGTTGGGCGTCTGCCTTTGGCTCAGGTCATGATCTCAGGGTCCTGGGATTGAGTCCCACATCTGGGTCCCTGCTCAGCGGGGAGCCTGCTTCTCCCTCTCCCTCTGCCGCTCCCCCTGCTTGTGCTGTCTCTCTCGCTCTATCAAATAAATAAAATTTAAAAAAAACTAAAAATAAAAATAAAAATAAAAACCTGTTTCCATTGCTCCAACTGCTGCATAGTATTCCACCATCAGCTTCTATCATATTTCATCCATCCATTCCCCAAAGGATGGATACCTACATTGCCTCCAACTCCCTGGGACCCAAAATAATGCCATGAGGAACAACATCCCTACACATCTGTTTCCATATGGACGTATGCAAGAGTTTCTCTGGCATATATTGGGATAGCTGTGTTATAGAATATAAAAATATATAAATTGGCTAAGGATTTTGGAATTGTTCTCCACAATGGCTACACCTATCTCATTTCTACCAGCTGTGGATGAGAATTCGCTGTTGTGTGATTCGGAAACAGCTATCTAACGACATGTGACAGAAACAGCTTTGGGAGCAGAGTTGAGGACCTCAGCAGATGTGATTCTCATCATCTCTATGAAAAGGAGAAGACAAAAGAAACACAAAAAGAGGCAGTTGCGTGCAGGTTCATTTACCTGGTCCACTTCCCTTTAAAGTGGGGGGACAGGACTAAGCTCTGTTTAAGGGATGCTGCTTCCCTAATCTCCCCATTCTGTGCTTCTGACTCTTGGCTGTAGTAGTTAAGGAACCACTTATTTGAGACAGTTCTTTTGATTTGTATCTCAAAAGATTTTCTACCTTGGGAAAAGAAAGCAAGAGGAGGGAGAAATAAGGCATTAGTTAAGAAAACAGAACCCACAGATTCTGAAATGGTAAACACACGCGATTAACTAGAAGTGATAAGGCTCTGAAGTTGACGTTTATTCCTATCAACAGGGGAATTGATGAATCCCTTTGCCAGTGGGACTGAGTGAAATATCTCTGTCTTTTCCTGCCCACATCCTCGTGTTTCATCACCCAGGGCTGCAGGGTCCCAGGACATGAGCTCTCTTGTTTACCCTCTTCCTGCCCTGCATCTGGGGGCTACCTAACCCTGGCTCCTCAGAGGACTCCTCTACTGTTGTCCTCCCCAAGCGTGTCCATGTGCCTACAGACAATGTCAGGTCCCCCCCCACCCCCACCCCCGCCATTGCCTCAGCTGCCAAATCTAGAACGCTGGGCGGCAGGACCGCAGATCAGACGTGGGGACGGGGGAAGACCAAGTGCCCCAAAAGGGCACACAGCCTTCTCCCTCCCCGGTGCCTGAACCCCTCCACGTGCCCCTCCACTTCCTTTGCCGGATTCCCACCATCTGGGGTCCACCTCTGACTTGACAGACTTCTGTTGGTCACATCTGGCTTCAGAGAAAGAAACAAGGAGTTAGAAGGCCTAAACTAACAGGCAGCACTTGGCACACACAATAGAAGGCAGCTGCTGTTTATAGCCCTTTCTAGGGTGGCCTCAAGCTGGACCTCACACTTCCCTTCCCTGGCTTCTCCCTGTGGGGCATTGTTTTACACGGAGCATCTGGAACCTCACAATCTTGCAGCTTGGAGGGGGAAAAAAAAAAAAAAAAACAACGCAGGAGTCCTATGAATCTGTGAAACTCTACCGAACTCTCTTCCTGGGGAAACTTCCCCACCGGGCTCCTGGCTTACCTCTCAGGTAAGGCAGGTCCCTACCGTTCCCGACCCTCACCTCTCTATGCATTACGTGGCAATACAAAGACCAGCCGGCCAGCTATCCAGTAAAAAAGCTAGCCCCCGAAGTCTTTTTTCTAAATAACCGTCTAGGAGGCCTGAAACACTTCCAATGTCTTAAAGGCGAAAACACCCAGCCTGGACTCAGGTGGTCAGTTCGAGACCAGCATCGCATCGTAGGAGGCCAGTAGCAAGGCCCTTCCCAGAGCCTTCCTGCTTGGTACCGTCATCCATGTGCCTCTTCTGACCCCAGGGCTTCTCTTCTCTGGTCCTGTCCCCATAGAAACAAGCGCGGAGCTGGCAGGCGCCGAGAAGGCTCGGCACGCACCACCTGACTCGGCGCGCGCCCCTCCAGTACGCACGCCTGATTTCAGCCGCCTGAGCCGGCTCCGCTGGGCAAGGTGGCGCCTAATTACCTCCCTTCTGTTTTTTTCCCTCCTCTTGTCCTCTCCCCTCCCCACCCCTCAGAGGACAGCCTTTCCAAGAAATAACACACGCGCGCACCTGGCACAGTGCGATAGGGAAGCTCACCATGGATACCGGGCTACCATTCCCACTCCGGCGGTGGCTCCTGGGAATAAGTAACTATCTCTAGAATGCTACGAACTCCAGATGTGCACCGACTAGTGCCTCGAGACCCGGCTTCCTTGTCTCATTATGCCTCGTTTTTTCCCCAAGTTTCATATATGCATATCGAGCCTTCCGAAGGGGGGAAAAAATGGGAAATGGTAATCTTCCTTTTAATATGCTACCACATGCCAGCCCCGAACAGCTGTGCACACACAACACGATGGACTGGACATGAAATATAGCCCAGCACCATTTTTTCATCATTCATTCCCAGGGCTTACAAAACACATTTACTTGGAGGGAGGTCACACAGTCTTCCTTCTGCATAAAAAGGTGGCTTTGAAATAGGTACAGCCATCTGGAAACAGCCTCTTCTGCCATTGATATGTAAAATGCACATATTACACCATCTTGCTTGGGACTCTAAAGCCGGACGCAGAGCCACACAGAGGCCCGTGATTGTTTAAATAGACAGTCTCCGGTTCGCCACAGTGCTTACCTTGGTCTGCAAAACTATTTGCCCGCAGTCTAGGTGACTCTGGACAGGGTGGGGAGGCAATTTGCTCAGGGGGGCGTTCATCTGTGTGCAGGGAGAGTGTCCTGGAGTCCAAATTTGGGGGGAAATGACTTGAACACTCTCCGTCGCTGCTGCAGCCTTGTTAATAAGAGAGAATATGTCAAGTGCGTGACTGGGAGTAAATAGCAAACACTCCATCGAAATAATGACCTCTGCTCTTTGGCTCATTATAACCAGCGTTTGCTTCCCTCCCTAAAAGACTTAGATCCCACCTTTAATAACTGGTTTTGTCAGGCATTTAAAGGAAAAGAGCGATGGGTCCTAGTTCACTAATTGATCTCCGTGTAGTCAGGGGGTTGCTTCTGTATGTTTATTAACATTTGCTCCTTAAAATGAGTACACTCCCCCCCCCGCCACACACACACCCAGAAAGACCTTCACAAATAAATTCTTATCCAGAACTTATCCAAATAAATTCTTGACCTCTCAAGCAATTGAACTTGGTGTTGTTTCTTCCATTTTTATTTCCTGGGCTTGGTTTTGATCTCTGTTTATTTTTTTTTAAATGTATACACGATATGGAGAATATAAATCAGCTGCCTTAAAATTTAAATGCCATCCCAAAGCTAAATGCTCTCCCTCCAAAAAAAAAAAAAAATCCCTGAAAGAATACAGAGCTCTGGAGCAGCTCAAAGGGATAAGCTGTTAAATGCACAAATAGCAGAGCTCCCGTTACTGAGAGGAGAGCGAGCCCACTGGAAGGAGGAGATCACTCTAGGTCAGCCTGTCCTTTACATTGTGAAGAGCTAGAAAGGGGCTAATAAACCCAGCAGCCTATGGCAAAGGTAATTTATTTTATATTCCTAGTCATCACATGCAATATTTTTTGGAGGGTGAGAGCAAATATAATTCAAAGAAAGTGATAAACAATAAAAAAAAAAAACCCAATGTCTAGTGAGGCTTCCACCCCCAAGTTAAGAGAACACTTGCCTTTCTCTGCTTTTGTGGTGCATTTCTCATCCTGTTTGTGTGTCAACATCTTCAAAGTGCCTAAGCGGCTGTGGTGGGGGATGGTGGCTCTACCTAAGCCTGGGGTCAGGGGTCCTTCCGGGGGAGGACAGGAATCCCCCCCACCACCCAGATAAGCAACTCCCAGGTGTGGGCGCACACATTTCCGCACAGGCACCTCCCAGCCCCACTCCCGGGAAGAAGCATCCACTTGACTTATGAATCGGCTCCTTGCCCCGGAGTAATTACCAAGTGGACAGTTCTCCGGCTGATCTCCTGAGCCAGCGTGGAGGACAGCTTCTCCTGGGGGGGCTCCGGGTGAGGGGCTGGGCCCTTTCTGCTCCTGTCTCGCACTTGCCACATTTTACGTGGATGAGGTCATTGGACTACAGATGAGGTAACCGTGCAGCCTGCCCAGGAGCTGGGAGAGGTTACCATGTGACTGTGCATGTAAACACAGGGAGGTTCCCCGGGGGGGGGGGGGCCAGCCAACAGCTGAGCTCTGCTGCTGGCTGCTGAGGGGTAGGAGCCACAGGACTCTGGGAGCTTGTCCCAGGCTCTTAAAGGAGCCAAATCGCTGCCTGAGCTGGGGTCACGGCCACCTCGGACAATGGCCTCTGGGCAGAGCAACATCCTGCAAGGGGTCGGGGTGGGGGAGGAGGGGGGGCCTGGCCCTGTGGCAGGTTTGGGTAGGGGGCATAGACAAAAAAGGAACACTGCCCTGAAAAGAGGAGCTTCCCAAGGCAAAAAGAGACACTACAGACAGGGCTGTGGGGTGCTCTTGTGGTTCAGCTCTAAAGCCCTCTGCTCCCCGCTGGTAAAGGTGGTTCCACCATGTGAACATTCAGCCACATCTTCTAATAGTCTCTAAGTTAGAAACATGGCTGGAAAAACAAGCATTTTTTAAAAAACAATATAGAGGGGCACCTGGGTGGCTCAGTCAGTTAAGCATCTGCCTTCGGCTCAGGTCACATCTCAGGGTCCTGAGATCGAGTCCCACATCGGGGTCCCTGCTCAGCAGGGAGCCTGCTTTTCCCTCTCCCTCTGCCCCACCCCCATACTCATGTGCACTCACTCTCTCTCTGTCAAATAAATAAATAAAATCTTTAAAAAAAACCAATATGGAAATGCATTTTTTTAAGCTCTTCTGTACTATAGAATGACAGAGTGCATTTCCAGATGTGGAGCTGTCCCGCTCAGGTATTACACGGTCCCGCGATTCTCAGGGGCAGAAAGTTCTTTCCAGATGTCAACTCAGATGAACTAAATTCTGCATCTATCCCATGCATTCCTCAGGTACTCTTTTTTTACTGGGCCCTACTACATACCAAGCTATACTATACTGTGTACTATAGTGAACACTGGGAATTTTTAGGAAACAAAAGGTTGGTCTCCTGCTGGAAGTGCTCACACACCAGCAGACAATTACTGTTACTACATACTAGCACTCATCTACGAATGACCACAAGAAAGGAGGTGCATGCGTGAAGGGGAAATGTGCGAGCCATGAAAACAGAGGGCATCTCAAGGAAGACCTCCCTGAGAGCCTCATTAAGCTGGGACCAAAAGCGTGAGAGTCCCCGCTAAAGTCACACCCTAACAAAGATGCACTTCTGGGCATGTCACGTGTCTTGTAACAATCTGTGAGGTAAGTTTGCTGTGTTCCCCATTTTACCCATGCTTACATCGGTAGCTTAAGAGAAGCTAAGTAACTTGCCCAAGGAAGTGGCAGAATCAGGATTTGAACCGAGGGGTGGGCCCTGAGGCCTGCATTCTATAATCACTCTGCCCCAGTCACAGTCAAGAGGACACCAAACCAAGCAGATGCTCACAGCCAAGTGTGAGGCCCATAACCTGCCAGCAACACCGGCAGCCGAAGTCATGGGAAGAATGGGAAGACCCCAGTAGAAGAGAGCCAGGTGATGGGGAGAACGTTCTGGAAAGAGAAAGCAGCATATGAGTAGGCTCATGTGTGTTCACGCTCACATGTGCATGTGCACACACATGCAAGAGAGAGAAAAAGAGAAGGACTTCCTCAGCCACACTGAAGAGTTTGAACTTTTTCCTAAGGGCCATGGGGAGTCATGGACGGGCTCCAGGCAGATTAATGAGATGATCGGGTTTGTTTGTGTGAAATGTTGCTCAGGCTGCAGTGTGGAAAATGGATTGGAGAGCAGGAAAGGGTGTGTTGGGATAAGCCAAGTGAGCAATAGTGGCCAGGATTGCCATGGAACAGTGGGCATACTACCAATGTAGGGAGTTGCATTCTGCTTAGAAGGCAGAAGCAGCAGGGCGGGGTAACTGATTGGACATGGGGTGGTGTGTGGGTGGATGAGGGAGGAAGATGTTTTCTGACGGAGCTGCAGGATGTGGAAGATCAGGTTTAGATATGCTCATTAGGCACTCAGGCATGCAGGTCTCAGGCTCAGGAACCAGATCTGGTCTGAAGATAAAAGTTTTAGGAGTCACCGATATATACAAAGCAACTGGACCTTGAGAGTTGCTCAGCATGACTGACTAATACCCCATTTCTTTAACATGGGTCTTTTTGATCCTTTTTAAAAGGCACATTCTCCCCCACTGTGATATAAGCTACATGAGGACAGGGACAGTTTTTGTCTTGTTCTGCAATTGTTACCCAGTACTTGGTGTATAGAATATAGTAAATATTCCATAAGTATTGTGGAATAAGGGAACTGAAGGATAACTCTTTCTAAAATAAGTTATGAGGGGCACCTGGGTGGCTCAGTCAGTTAAGCGTCTGCCTTCAGCTCAGGTCATGATCTCAGGGTCCTGGGATCGAGCCCTGCATCGGGCTCCCTGCTCAGCAGGGTATCTCCTCCCTCTCCCTGCTCCACACCCCACCCCCACCCCCGCAATGCTCCTTCTCTCTCTTTCTCTCTCTTGCTCACTCTCTCAAATAAATAAATAAAATCTAAAAATAAATTAAAGATAAATAAATAAATAAAATGCCAGGTCCAAGAGAGCAGGACTTTTTTCTGTCTCATCCACTGGTAAACCTCAGCCCCTAGAGCAGTGAGAGACAGATAGAAGCTCAATAGACATGGCTGAAAGAACTTTCGGAAGGCCACATCCATATATCACACCCAAATTTCTGCTACTCTATCCTCCGACAGGACAGAAGAGAGGTCAGAATCTTAGTGTAACTCTTCTGAAATCTTGCTGAGACTATAAGCTCTCAGACAGAAGAGGAGCTATAAATCGGTGCAACAAGACTTGAGAGAACTAGGGCAGATGCTTCTGAAAAAATCGATGGTTGTCTCTTGTCAACTTAAACCAGCTTTTGTTCAGGTGAGAGCACATGTAAGCTAAAGGGGAGAGATAAATTGTTAGGTTTTGCTATAAGAAGGCTAGGTATTGTGAAAATTCTTCCACTGCAAAACACTGATATGTTGGATAAACTGCACTATTAAATGAACTGATTTAACTCACAAGATAATAAGGAAAATGCCTATATGTAACATCAAGGAAAATAAAACAAAACAAAATAAGCATGAACAAAAAAGTAAGAAGTTCAGGAGCTGGGGCTGCTCAGGAAACAAAGGCCAATACCAGGATTCTAAAGCAGAGGTTGACAACCCATAGTATGCAGGTGAACTACCTATTTTAGTAAATAGTTTTACTGGCAAATGGCCATGCCCATTTATTTATGTATCCAGCAGAGTTCAATAGTTGCAACAGAGGTCATATGGCTCATAAGCCTAAAATATTTACTTTCTGAACCTTTTAGAAAACCTTGAATGGGGGCGCCTGGGTGGCTCAGTCGGTTAAGCATCTGCCTTCAGTTCAGGTCATGATCCCAGGGTCCTGGGATTGAGCCCTGCGTCAGGCTCCCTGCTCAGTGGGAAGCCTGCTTCTCCCTCTCCCTTTGCCTGCCGCTCTGCCTACTTGTGATCTCTCTCTTTCTCTCTGTCAAATAAATGAATAAAATCTTTTAAAAAAGAAAAGAAAACCTTGAATGGTTGTGCAGGGAAATGGGTTCTTTGGGCCTACACAAAGTAGAGAGATGAATCTGAGTCTCACATAAAGCTTGAACTTTCTTGAAAGGAGCTCACGTCCTGGGAAAAGTGGACTAGAAAAACATACCTGCTGGCAAAATAAGTCAGAGG